AGCATCACTGAAGCAATGAGCATGAAACTGAGCAAACTCAGGGAGGCAGTGAAGGACAGGAAGGCCTGGCGCAATATGGTTCATGGGGTCACGAAGAGTCGGACACGACTTAACGACTAAACAACAACAACAATTTCTGTAGTACATTCTCAGTCACTTTACTGTTGCAACTTCATTCATAAAAGCAGCTTAAAAACAATTCTCAATTAGAAAAGTTGCCCACAAAACAGAATATGTTGTTCTGAAAATAAAATAAAATATCTAAAGTTGTCTAAAACAGATGTTCATTCCAGCTAGAACTGAAAGGTAAATAGGCACTTAACTTAATGATCAGTTGTTTGCAACACTATAGTTAATTGCAGTTAGTGAGAGAAATGATAATAGTCTTTAATTCAGCTAATGTATATTTCTTTTGCAGATTTACAGATTTGTTGTGGGTAATTTCTTTTCAGCCTTTTGTCTCAAAAACCCCACCCAAACCATATGAAAATGGTTGATTTCAGCGGGCTCAAAAAAAAGGTTTACTGCTCAGGAGCAGCACAATATTAATGTATAGTAGATCTCTGCCTCTGCACTGGTATTTGGACCAGACTACATGCAACATTAATAATGCTCAGTTCTGCAGTAAGAAAGCATTGTGGATTGTGAAAGGTATAGCAGCACCTTGCTTCTCTAGCATTGCTATAGTCTTTTCACTGCCACAAAATGTGGTAGAAGTTGTTGACTTAGATGGTTTCAAAAGGGAATTAGAAGAGGATGATAGGTCCCTTAACAGGTATTAGTAATAGTATCTAAATAGTATCTAAATGCAACTCTAAGGTTGTATCACACTGAATATTAGCTGTGGGTGAGCAAAAGCAGTGAAGGGTTTCTCTGGGACATCTGGATTGCCACAGTGGGAAGCAGAATTCTGGATTAGTTAGATCTCCAGCTAGAACCATCAGGGTTATAAGTTGATGAAGATTCTCAGTCATCCAGGTGGAATTATCTGGAGGTTGAGTCATGGCAAC